CCCTGGGGAAAGTCGTGTGGCTAACCAACTGAGTATCCTAACACCCGTCCAGTCACATGTTCTCCGTCTTCTTTTGCTTAATTGTACCACCCCAGCCCCTGGTGGCCCCAGGTGCTTCGAGGGCTGGGTCTGGTGTAGCAAGCCCTTGCTGAGTGCCAGGGCCTGTGTTAGGTCCTAGGGACGCCCTGTGGGTGAGGCACACGCCCAGTCCCCCGTGGCTGGGAGACAGAGTCACTTCTAGAGGGATAAGGAAGCAGCACGGAGGGCCTGCAGGGGTGGCTCAGGGACCAGCATGTTAATCTTGGAGCTCTGGGGACACCCTCGTGTCTCCCCATGACTCCAGTTAGCACCCAGAGGGGCTCTGTGGCTATTCCTTTCGAGAGTTTACTTTCTCTGCTGGGCTGGGAGTAGGGCCTCCTGAAGTGTGTACCGCTTAGCTGTCCCTTTCATGATTACGATGACAAAGAAGAGTTGAAGCTTATTTAGCACTTATGTAGTAAGTACTTCCCAAGCATGGCTGCCTTTCAGCCTCCCAGCAGCCCCATGATGTGGGAGTGATGAACATTCTTATTCTGTAGAGGTAGACACAGAATCAGAGAAGTCAAGGCACTTGTCCATGGTCACACAGCTTTAGAGCTAGAAAGACAAGATGCAGATGCACTTAGTCATCAACGAGGCAAATAGCAAGGAGAAGGATCACCTGGAATGTCCAGGTAGGCCTCTGAGATGGAAAATAGGCAGCAGTATGCTGACCCCACCACACACCCCCCCAAGCTTGAGTGGGTATCTGTTGGGTATCTGTGAAGGACCTACTGCGTGCGGGGCTCCAGGTGTGGGTGGTCTAGGGACTAAGTGTCATTCTGTGCTCCAGACCCAGCCAGCGGTCAGTGTCGTGTGCGCAGTAGGCTCTTTACAGAAGCCTGTTTGATGGAAGGAAGGCTGTTCCAGCCATCCTGCGGCTGGACGCCTCACCTGGGGCATGACACGGCACCACGGGGGGCTAAGAAACGTGGTCCCCATCTCTGTGTCAGGCAGAGGCCTCTCCCTGTCATGGACGTGGAGAGAGGACTGGCTGGGACTCTGCATATTTGATCTAAGAGGCAAATTGATTTTGTGGATTCATCTCCTTCAGCGTCCTCGAATCGGTGTCTGGGGAGGCATCTCTTTGAGGCTCCTATTGTTCACTTTCAGATGACTTCATATCAAATGGATTTTAAATGAAATCTTGGGGGCTCTACAAAATGCAGAAGGCTAAGTGGGGAATGTGTTATTTCAGAGATTTGCAAGTGCTGCGATGACCGAGGAGCCACGTCCGGGCTGGGGTCTCTCAGAACCAGTGAGGATTGCGGTGGCTCTCAGCTCCGGACTGTCTGCCCAGTTGTCGGACTGACTTGAGAGGGGGTGGTGGACAGGGACTGGGGGCACTGTCAGGACTCTGCTGAGGGGACCGCTGTCTGTGGTCAACCACACTGTCCTTCATTTTCTTTCTCGTGACTGGGGGAAGGAGAGGGAGAGCCGAGGCTGTGTTCAGAAAACACCTGCCAGCCGCTGATGCTGTGGAGATGAGGTCCTGGCTCCAAGATATGGGGTCTCCCAGACTCGCCGGGGAGCTGCTGGTCCTCCTGGATGGGAGGGAGCTTGGAACTTCCAAGGAGATTGGGAAGCCCGCTGCTGGAGACCCCCAATGTCCTGCTGACAACCAGAAGACCCCCAAATGCCCTGTGGTCAGCTTGCACTTTGCCCTCACTGGGGAGCCTTTGAAAGTTTGGAGGGAAGGGGTTACCAGGCCCATTTTGTTTAGGTTGCTCTAGCCTGGAGAATGGACCATGGAGGGACTGGAGTCCAGGGGACCAGCTGAGGAGCTGTTAATGATACCTGGACAGGTAGTAACAGGGCCTGGGCCCAGAGGAGTGGCATCTGGGGTGGAGAGAAGGAGATATGGTGGCGTATGGAAGAAATTAGCCAGGACTCTTCCTTGAAAGTGTTAGATATACCCCTCAAATCAGCGTGAATAACAAAAGGGAGATGTGTAGCTCCTGTTTGTGGAAAATTCTAAGGCTTCAGGTAAGGCTGTATCCAGAAGTTCCTCAGGACTGGTGTCCTCCACCCCTTGGCTTTGTGCAACTCCCGGCTGGCTCATCTCAGGCAGGTTCTCTCTGGCCGTAGCAGCTCCAGCCTCCAGGTTGGGTGGAGGGTCTTCTTACCCCATTGCTCTCCACAAATCTCTGGATTCTCTCTGACTAGACTGGGCTGCCACAGGTCATGTGCCATCTGTGTGACAGGATCACCATGGCCAGTGACAGAAGGAGCTGATTGATGGGCTGGGGCCATGTGTCCACTCCAACACCTGGATGGACAGGAAGGCACGTTGGTTTCAGGAGAGACGGTCAAGGTGCGGGCAGGCAAATCTGGCAATTAACCACCACGCGGGGTGGGTGGGCCCAGGGGGTGTGGGGGAGGAGTGGATGCTACAGGTGACTCTGAGCATCACGCTGGGATGTGGGGTGCCGTGAGCGAGCCTGCCGACAAGGGGGTGTGAGGCAATGACATTTGGACAAAATGAAACCAGAATAACCGTCTGGCTCTGCCCGAGGTCGGTGTTCCTGATTTATAGATTTGTGATGATCTGGCCTTTGTTTGCCTATAACTCAGCTGTCATTTCCACTTTATCTCTTACTTAAGATCTTGTCACACTGCTGTGTGTTCACTGCTCCTCGTTCAGGGAAAAAGGATGAGCCAGAGCAATTTTGCTTTTTATCTCCTGGAACAATCGGCTTATCACACTGATGATAATCAGGATGGGTTTTACAGGAAAACAACTTTTTTTTTTTTCTTTTCCCAATGAAGCAAACGTCTTGCTGGTAAGTTTGTTGTGTGGAGGAACGTCAGAGCCTGAGCTCAGGGGCATGTTTGGGTGTGTCGGGGCAGCTCAAGCCATATGGTTAAACTGTGAGTCTCCCTCACCACCCAGCGTCGGGGGCTCCAACCCACCTGTAGCCTTTTGCTGGGTTTTCTAACAAAAAGGTGTCTTCCCATCCACAGGTTCTACACCCTTTAAGACTCACATCAAGTCCTTTGGGATTGTAGGGTCTCCACTTGTCCTTGAGGTCCCTGTGCTTGTGGTCAGTCCCCGTCTCGCAGAGGCTCCCCCATTTTGTCTGTGGTTCAAAAGCAGTGAAGGGCATGGGCTCAAAGGATGTCTGGATACTATTGCTCCTGAACTCTGGTCTCTAATGATAATCACCCAACAACCACACAGGAGCCACAAGTGGGAACCCTTCCACGGAGCCAGCCAGGGGTTATGCATCTCTATGCACGATCTGTGTGGACTCACGGGGGATGATACCATGGTTGCCACATACCCATGGTAGAGCATGTCCACCACTCAGAGACCACCGGTGACTTGGCTATTGGTGACGTGGTTTTGTGAAACAACTCTGGATCTTACCTGGATGCATCCAGGACAAGAGAGGGACACACATGGGTCTGCAGGGTTGTGTGGGGGGTCAGATGTTCTCAGGTGGCTCCGACAACTTGGCAGTCTCCTAGAACATTGACTTTTAAACAGAAAAGTGTCAGAAATCCTTGCTGTCATCAATTCTGGAAGCTTAAGGCTCATGACACCTGATGGCTCTATTTTAGTTCAGTTAACACTGAAATTCATTCATTCAACAAATGTTTATGAGCGTCCCAGGTGCACGTGGGTAGGTGAGCAAGGCTTGTGTGGTCCCTGCCTTCGGGAGCCTTTCTGTAAGTCCCAGTTGGTGGGAGGTCCATGGTGGACAGTGGCATACAGTGGGAGTAAGCCTCCAAGAGCTCCCGGGCTGTGGGGTGGCTGGACATGTCCAGTTGCATGTGGGCAGTGAAGGAGGGAGTGCAGTGTTTCATCAAGGACCCACCTTGTCCCAGCACAACTTGGTCGAGGGCACAGCCTGTTGCAGCTAAGTCACAAAATCTGAGCAGTGGGGAGCAGTGGGGAGCAGGCCGAGAGAACTGGTGACACAGCTCTGGGCTGGGAAATAGCATGCCCATGGCCCCTGACCTTGTTCGCCTCCCATCCCGCCTGATGAGCCCCCACCTGACCCCTTTCACTGCTCCCCATGGGCGGCCAGAGTGGGCTCGGCAGTCACATTCTGGAGCGTGTACCCTCCCTAAACACCCCCAGTGGCCCTTCCTTGTCCTCAGGAGTGATGCTGTGGGAAGAACACTGGGCTGCTGAGCCAGGCTCCCTGGGTTTGAATCCTCCCCTGTTTACCAGCCCATGCCCAGTTGGGAAGATGCTTCCTCGCCTGTAAAATGGGGATCATGGTAACACCCACCTCGACAGTTGTCATGAGGACAGAATGACTTACTGCCCTATATGACAGCCATTTGCACCCTGCCTAGCACGTGTTAAAGACAAGGGAAGTGTCAAGTGGAGGCTGCCCATGGTGGACATAGGCCCTGCCTGCGCTGACCCGTTCACCTCGACCTCACCTCCAACTGCTCATGGTCTGAGCTCCTGCCACGCTGGTTGGGTTCCATCTAGGAACCACTTCAGGCATATTCCTGCCTCCGGGCCTTTGCACTTGCCTTCTCTATGCCTGGAATGCATGCTGCTTTTCTTCCTCTTCCCTTAGAAAGTAACTCTGCTGTCACTTCCTCTAGGAAGGCTTCCCAGACCAGGCCAGAGGCCCTCCCCACAGTTTGGTAGCACTTGTAAGAATGTTCTTTCCCTTATAGTGTGTTTCATAGTGAATTTTCACAGGTGAATTTTGCTCAACACTGAACTCTCAGAGTCCAGGACAATGATGGCTCTTGGTCGGCACTCAGTAAATAGTTGTCGAATGCACGGATGAGGTGATGTTGAGAGAATGTTAGCCTGCTTTTTTTTTTTTTTTAATTTTTTATTTATTTATTTTGAGAGAAAGCGAGAGAGCACAAACAGGGGGAGCAGAGGGAGAAGCAGACTCCCCGCTGAGCAGGGAGCCCGACACTGGGCTCGATCCCAGGACCCTGAGATCATGATCTGAGCCGAAGGCAGACGCCCAACCGACTGAGCCACCCAGGCTCCCACAGCCTGCTCTTCTTACCACACGCTCATCCAAATGGCTGCTGATCACTGTGCTGAACGTTCGCGGGGGTGTTCGCAGAGCTCGGGACAAGGCAGGAACAGCACAAGACTGTCTTTCCACCTCTGTCTTCCTCCCTCCCCTGGGGTTTCTAGCTCTCAGGGGCGCGTGGTGCAGACCAAGGGAAGGTGCACGCCCCAGCTGGGCCCTCCCAGTCCCCTGCCGAACGCCGATGACTGGGCTGGGCACATTAAGGCAGAAGTAAAAAGATGAAACTTTGAGTTCTTTGGCTCCTTTTGGGTTTAAATCAAACTCTTAGTGTAATTTCAAACTACTTTTTTTTTTTTTTGGTGGATATATTTTATACAGAGCATGTTTCAAATCAAAGAGAGAGAACATTTTCCCCCCTTCTTCCCGTGAAAGGCAGGGAGTCTAAGACATTTTAATAGCTTTCATATTCCTCGCTCCAAATATATTATTTCAACACAATAGTTTCTTTGCGGGAGAATTGCTTAAATGATTCAAAATGGATTTAAAAATATATTTCAAGTTTTAATTTTATGCACAGAACATTAATAAGCAGAGTGCCTTAGAGACTGCCTGTCAGTTTAACATATTCACAATATTCTCAACACAGATGTTATTCCATCTAAATCCTTTTAGAGGGAAGAAACCAGTAATTTTTTTCTTGGAGGATGTCAGAAAATATATTATTTTTGAAATTGTATTTTGATCCCAGAATTCTGCACAAAATATCGTTGTTAGGGTCTGGGTGTGCTGAGTCACTTGGACACCAAACTTTTATAAAAGTCCAGGAAAGAGAAGCAGCCGAACACTTTATCCATTTCATGTTCTTCGTGTTCTCTCGCGAGGACTCTGAGCTTCGACAAGTGGAAGGGGGAGATAATGAAGACTTCACCGCTCTGTGCATCAGCAGGGTCAGTCTTAGTGGTTAGGGTCAGAGGTCAGGGTCAGGCTTAGGGGTTAGGGTCAGGGTAAGGGGTAGGGTCAGGGTAAGGGGTAGGGTCAGAGTTAGGGTTTAGGGTAAAGATTAGGGTTAGGGGTTAGGTTAGGAATTAGGTTTAGGGTTAGGGTTAAGGATTAGAGTTATGGTTAGGTCTTAGGGTTAGGGTTATTGGTTAGGGTTAAGGTTGGGCATATTTCAAACAACAGTGATGGGTGAACACATACTAGATTTGATGTGGGAACATGTTGAAAGAATGACTGTCATTATTTTGTTTCGTCCATTGAATGCTGCTGGCTCCTGGCATCAATGGAATTATATCTCCTTTGCTTCTAGGACGGCAAGTCAGTCTCAGCCAGTTTTGTTCTTATATATATGCTGGCAGTCAGTGCCTTTGTTCATAAATGTCCACATAGTCAGGGAGGAGCCCAGGGACGTTGCATGTTTTCTTCCAGGGTGCTGCCAGCCCTCATGGCTTTGGTCCTGCACAGAGCAGTGGTCTGGGTGTGGAGCAGCGTTCAGCCCAATTGCTCTGGAGCCTTGTGGATGTGGATGAGAGTGAAGCTTTCTAGAGGCTTCTCCATGAAATGGGGGATGTGGTTAGTGTGCAGCATCTGGCATAGGACACTGTGTGGCCCCGTGAGCACTCAGGGGCCTTGACCCCCTATTTTTATCCATGTAGTGGATGTTTTCCTCGCTGTCCATGCGTTCTGTTGGCTGGGGGCCTCCCAAGCCCTGCAGACCCTCGGAGAGAGAACACATGCTCCATCCTGGGCTCTCTGCAGTTGGAGCTGCGGTCAGAGCTGATTCATGTTCAAGGCAGTGCCCTGTCCACAGGCTTCTAGCAAGGGTACCCAGCTCCCAGCCAGGAACGGGGTTGTAAAGTTCTGGGTCACAATCCTGCTCCCGCACAATGTGTTAGCTTGTCTGAAGGCGACTTTGCAGGAGGGGACTGGGCGCCAGATGTGGGGCTTCTGGAGTCTGGGGCTCCATCCTCCCATCCCCTGCCTTCCCGGTGAAGGAAGTTCAGGGAAAGCCCCCGGAGGGGGGGTTGGGGGACCAGGGCCTCGTTCCAGATGAACCCGCAGCCACGTTCTGTTTCAAATGCTGGCATATCTTCATTCTTGGTGTATAAGAAAGAGCACTCCTTTCCCTGTTTTCATAATGAAAGAAATTTTATTTTGAAAAATTATTAAATTGATGCATAAAAACATGATCTCAGAGTTCATATGGAGGAATAAATGACCCCCAAAATGGCTAGGGAGATGTGAAAAATGAAGACACTGATGGGGACTTACCCCTCCAGATACTAGTACGTGCTCTAAGGACCCCATAAAGTCAGTATTGGTGGGAGAACAGGCACCTTGATGCGTGAAGTGGTACGTGCTGGTGTAACTCAGGGGCCATCTCCACAGACAGCCGGTGTGCTGGTTCACTTTCGAGGAGGAAGGATGGATCCATTGACAAATGCAAGAGAAATGGAACCAATCATCCCGCATATACAGAAATAAACTCTGGAAGGATTAAAGTCTTACAAGTAATAAAACAATAGCAATAGTCTTGCAAGAAATTTATGATACTGCACATACAATCTAGGGGCTGAGAACTTCCTAATCAGGATTGCAAACCCAAAAGCTATAAAGAAAAGATTGATTTTTTTTTTTTTACTCTGTGAAATAAAAAACTTTTCCATGCCAAAGATGTCACAAAGGCAGTACATACATGACTAAAGGAGGGAAAATATAACTTATATGTCAGACAAAGGGTTAATTTCTATGCAACACAGACATTCAAATAATCCAGGTGGGTTTGAAGTAAAAAGTGAATGTTTTCCCCCCAGCCCGCAAGCCCCTTCCCTAGGGGGGAATCGCTTTTAGTGGTTTGGTGAATTTCCTTCCGGACGCTCTTTCTTCTTCATCACCCTGCAAAAGGAATTAATTTTGGTTTTCTTTTGAGCTACAGCATAGGGAAAGCAGGAGAACCCACTTGGATTTTATTCCTGTTGATGGTCCTCATTCCCAAACCTGCCATTCATATCCCCCCTACCACATCTCTGTTATTATTAATCTTTTTTGTACATTTACACACCTTCACTTAAAAAGGAAACTTTAAATCCTTACCATAAATGGAAAACCAGTACCATTTGCTGTATGTAGAAGGTGGTTGGAAAAGTAATGGACACCAAGGTGGTGAAGGTCTAGTTCGATGTTGTAGCCGCTTGCACTCTTTATTAAAAGCGGGGTTCGCAGCATTAGGGATTGGTTGTAAGTAGGGTAGCCCCTACTTATAGGGATGCTCTTTGGCCGACTCGGGGGATTACGGAGGAATAACTCTGTCAGCGTGTTTCCACACTGTGTGAGCCTCTTGCACTTCTAGAACCACCTCTGACCTCCCTTTTGGGACCTGTCCCCTTCCAAGAACTGCTGTTTTGACGTCACTGGATGGAAGGAGAAGATAGTGCTCCTCAAGGTCAGCACAGTTTGCAACCAGCTCTTCAGTCTTGCAAATACCACGATTTATCTTCAGAATGAACATGTCCTCCGAGGAGGACCCCACCAAGAAGGAAACTTGCATCTCCCTAACCGGACATTTTTCAAAACTCCCACAGCACTTTTTTTTATTACTTCAATTTGTCGATGTGGTATTTTGAGAAGCCCTGGATTATTTAGACAAATTTGGTTGTTACTAATGACAACTAAATGCCCTTGCTTTTTTTTTTTTTTTAAGTAAAGGAAAAAGTGATCGTTTGGTGAAGTTTTCAGAGTGCTTGCCAGTCACTGCTGGGAAAGATGTTTGTTTCTCGCAACTTGGGAAAAAATGAAGACTCTGATCTTGTGATTCTTTTTTTCTTCTTTTTTCATCTCACCACTTTTTCCCCTGACACTGAAAGGTTTGTCTTTTTGACAAGTTGAGGTAGAAAGCAGCACATCTGTGACCCGCGGAGAAACAGGAAAATATGTCTAATCCCAGGGAGTTCAGAGACTGTAGCTTTGGTGTGAATTTTAGAAGAGATCTCGCCGAAATACGCCTCTTCTGAGTGTCCTGTGACCAGCTCAGGGCTGGGCATCGGGGAACACCGGTTACTGCCTGTGAATGAAAGGAATATTTGAGCCCTCCATTGACCATGCTGGGGAAAGGATTTGATTTCAAAGAGACTATTTCATAAAGCATCACGTTTGGTTTTAAGGTGTGCTCAAACTCACCATCTTCTAAAGGACTCCGGAGACAAGGAAATCTTTCAAAGTGTTATTTCTCGGTGGCATTCTGCCATCCTGTAATTACGTGTTTCTACATGTTACTATTTGTTACTGTCTGTGTTCCCCGCTGCTCTGTAATAAACTGGCTCATCTCGTGCCCCTGGTAACTAGCTCACTGCCTGGCACACATGGCAGAGCTAAAGAAAATGGAAATGCAGGTTTATGTCCCAAGGTATAAATAGACACAACAAGTGAGTGTGTTTCCAGTGATTAGCTCCATAATTGCAGGCAGAGAGCGTCAGACTTTCTGCTGGTCTCCTGAGGAGTGTTCAGTATCTAAAAATCTCCCAGCATTGTCAAAAGCAAGTGCCCTAATTAAGTTAATTCAACGGAGGCAAAGAGGGGGGAAAAAAAATAAGACGCTTGCAGTTTGTGGCAAAGAACCAGGGAGGATGAAAATAAGAAAAGAATTCAGCAGAGGAACAAAACTGCAACCCTGTCTGAGTGCGGTTCTCATTTTCCCACACAGGCTGCCCCCTGAGAGGCCAAGGTCAAAGTCATCAGCAAAATGATGACTCAGCATCCGCTTGACAGACTGGTGGGGGCAAGGGGGGTGGGTGAGGAGAGGAGGAGGGAGGGAAGGAAACTGACAGTAGGGTCCCCTTACTCACTCACTCACTCTATTCAAGTCCAGAAGGGGTTGGTTTCCTGATATGAAGCCACAGAGGGAAAAAGTTTGAAGTCTCCCAAAATGTTTAGAGACTTCTTTAAGGCTGAATTTTTTAAATTGTTCTTTATTTTCATAAAATATGATACTTTATAGTGTCTGTCTGTGCCACGCGTTCTCTCTGCTTCCAGGCGGGCTTCCTGCAGACCCCAGCTTGAACTCGCCTTCACCTGTTACTTAGCAGTGGCATGATCCCGGCTGCGCTCTCCCACTCTTCTGGGCCTCAGTGTGCTCAGCTGTAAAATGGGCATGATGAGAGCCCTGGCTCTGAGCCTGGGGCATGCCCTTCCTCAAATGGGACTACTGCAGCCTGTAACCTCCGGTGACTGGTCACAACACCAGTCTCCTCAAAGAAGTTGTTGAGGAGGCGGGACTCCAGAGGAGACACAGACCAAACAAAAATGTGAAAATACTTGTTTTTGGTAAGTAATAGAACTAATAGGCCTCGGATTACGAAGTGCTGTAACCCATTATATCTTGGGCATGAGTGTGGTGTGTGCATGTGTGTGCAATCATTCCCATTTTATCCACCAGGACACCCAAGCTCAGTTAAGTTACTTGCCGGGGCCCCACAGCTAGTGAACGAAAGCATTACCCAGGCCCAGCTTTCCTGGCTCTTACTCCTGTAGACCCTAGGCCATTCGTTATGATGGTGAGGACCCCATTTCCTGAAGATAGGGGCTCAGAGGGAGATTTAGTTTGCTTTAAAGGAAAACAAAAGGAACCTGACAGTTTGGGAACCCAGAGTTTGTGGCTGTAGATTTATATTTGGTGCATAAGCCTTAGACAACTGGCTTACAAACCCAGGGAGGATTTATGGATGACCCACAGAGGGACAGGCGTGTCAGTCCTTGTCCCCTGGAGCTCTGTGTGGTTGTAGGGAAGGGAAGGGTGTGATCGTGGAGGAAATAGGGGAGCCCTTGAGTACCACCAGCTGAGCCCATCTGATGCTGCTGGGAGGTGATAAATTCTAGCGTAAACCCGGGGGCGGGGGGCAGCCCCTCTACAGCTGGGGGGGTGGGTGAGTGGTGTGGGGGGAGGCGCAGGGCTGGGGGAGGGCGAGGGGAGGGGTGGGGCATCTCTGCGTGGGTCGCAGTCTATCCACTGTGCGCGGTTGGCTGACGAAGTCCCACGACAACCTTCTATGTTTGCTACCAACCCCTGCGAGGAGGCGGAAAGGCTTAAGGAGCTCTTGGCTCCATGAGACCCTTATTAACAGCTTAAAAGTCAAAACTGGAGTTTGAGAGGGGCTGCAGGGAAGAGCTGCAGTTTTAAACGCATTTGTACTCACCCTGAATTTCCCTCGATGCTTGGGATGCGGAGGCAGTTGGGACAATTCTGACCCGACATGTGGAGAAACAAGCCTGCCTGTCGGTCACAGGCATCCACAACAGTGGGGTCGGAGCTCCGGAAGAGGGGCGATTCTGACAACAGCTGTGATGGAGTGGAATGGTTTTTTTGTTGGAATCCATGACTTTTTTGTTACTGCCAGTTAAATGGGAAACAAAAAGTTGGAGCAGGTTCCAATCTTCAGCTTACTGTAGCTGCTCCCTGCATGCACAGGGATACTCGAGGCTGGAGTCATTCTGCCGCGACAGAGTGGTGTTTGGGGGTGCTTGGGTGTTCCAGTTTTTAAAGATAAGAATGATCTCATGACAGCTGGTCTGGCCTGGTGTTTCTAGAGGTGACGGTGGCCTGGAATTGGGTCTGTTTCATTTCTTTTTTTTTTAATTTCTTTTTTATTTTAAAAAAAGATTTTATTTATTTGAGAGAGAGAGCAGAGTGGGAAGAGGGAGAAGCAGGCTCCCTGCTCTGCTGGGCTCCATCCCAGGACTCCAGGATCATGACCTGAGCCAAAGGCAGAGGCTTAACCGACTGAGCCACCCAGGCGCCCCTGTTTGGGCGTTTCTAATCATTGACCACACCTGGTCAATGTGCCTGGAGTGACATGTGCCTGCCCAGGAAGTGGGTATGTGTGGAAGGTAGAGACTCACGGAAGGAGAGGGTGCACACACGAGAGGGGGCAGGTGCTAAAATGCAAGGTACGGAGGCTGAAGGCATGTGTGCACAGCCAAGCAAGGTGCAGATGTGGCCATGGGGTGACCGGAATGAGATGGGTCTCTAGCGTGTGCTCACTTACAGGGACTACGCTGAAGCAAGTGGACACCATGAGGGACCTAGGTCTGGCCGTGCCTTGGTTAAACCAGCTGATGCCAGTTTCTACTACAGTGGACCCAGTGGCCCTGTGGTCACCCCCCAAAAGGATGCTTCTGGATGACCATTTCTGTGAGGCAGGGCATGGGCACTGCTCCTCTTACTGGGCTTGAGGTCTTTGAGAAGGCTTCTGCCAAATGCTTTGCCTAAAAGACCCTAGCCAGATGTAACCCTTCTCTCCCCTACTCCCTCGCTTCCTACTTCCCTTCTTCCCTCCCACCACGTGTGTAACCAGGGTACCGGGTGGCATAAGCAAAGTCTTATTAGAGTGGACTCCTTTGGGGTGGCAACTGTGTCTTATTTATCAGCCTATACCCCTCTGTGTAGGGTCTGTTCCACTCATCTCTTCACCTACCCATCATCCATCCATCTCTCCACACACCCACCCATCCACCCATCCATCCATCCATCATCTGTCCATCTGTCCCTCCTCCATCCACCCATTCATCCATCCAATGACCACGAACAGAACACCTGCCACATGCCAGACCCTGGGCTTGGCATTTGGAGTAAAACAACAGGAAGGGTTCCTGTTGGAACCCCAGTGCTTGGTATACAGTAGTTTCTCATGTTATGTTTGTTGAATAAATGTAAGACAAAACAAATGATATGATGCTCAGAAGACATCTACACATCCTCATGCTATGGCTTATGAAGACTCGGCCACAGCAGGCTTTAGAATTCTGGAGGGGGGGTGGAGGAGTTACGTGTCCAGCTCACGGGAACTGGCCAGAAGAGGCCCCTCCCTCGGTGCATGCTGCCCCTCCGAGGCTGTGATCAAGTTCTGTGAAACAACAGAGCCAGCAGTGAGGCATTTCCTTCCCCACCCGCCCAGCTGCCAGTGTGCGGCTGAGACTCTGGGGTTTACGGTAATGAATTCCATTCTGACTGCTGGTGACAGAACAGAGGTAGGGGTTTCAGGAAGGCACATGTGAGGGCTGAGGGTGGAGGTGGGTAGATTGCCAGGGGTGGGTGAGACAAAAGAGAGGTCTGCTCGAGGGGGTGTCTTTTGGGGGAAATGAATAACATCCTTGGCGGGGATTAGCTAACCACAAGTGGGGAGGAAAAGGAGTGGGGAGGTCTTCTGCCTGCAGGCAGAGTAGGGCTACTCATTTTCCACCTGTGGTGAGCCCAGTACATTGTCCTCAGAGCCAGGAAAAAGCTGGAAGGTTTCCCTAATGAATATTTCTGGGCTGCATGCATATAT